TCCATCACAAATTTCACTCCAATCTAAACATGCTACAGAAGGACCACGATTACATTGTAAATGAATATAACAGGTGAAATTAGTAGGCTTATATTCATAAGTACAATAATAATCATGAATAATATCATATAAAGATAAATGATCTTGATGATAATAATTAATTTTATATTGACACATAGAATCAAATCTTGGTAATGTACAATTATAGAAAACTTTTGTTTCCAGTGTTCTATTATTTGATGTTCACAATTGATTTAAGTAGAATTGATAACGTTCAGCAACATCTATCGGCGCTGACCAAAGGTACAGTTGTTGACTAGTAATGTTCGATTTGGAAAGTTCAGCAAAAGTAAACTTTGGAAAAATATCATTGTTTTCAATATGAAATTTCCATGGAGATTCACTCATACAATAAGATATAATTTCACGATTAACATACGGTTTATCTGGAGAAGCAGCCACACGCAAGCAATCGTGTTGTAAGATATTATTACTTTCACCTTCACTTATCCAATTTGTATAATGAAGATTGATTCGAGGTGTAGCAATAATCAAATGTAAGATTATGAAATTAAATAGATAAATCAGTATTTATAGAGTTCATATTTATGTTATTAGCTTTTTTAACTTTTCCTTTTCTTCATGAACGTCATTAAGAATTGTTGACATCATCGAAAATTATGATAACATATGCACAAAATCCTTGCTTCCTGCTTGATTGAAGTAGACTCCACAAGAAGCCTGAAAAAGATGTGAATATGTATATTAGTTGATGATCCTTTACTATCATTAGTTATTAAGCGATGAACAACTGTAGATTTAATTAAGCTCTTCACTCTTTACAGTTTCTTCTGTAGTTTATAGGTCTTCCAACAGATTTTAAAAAGATTAAATGATATCTAGTAACATAAAATGGATGCAATAGCAAAAGTAAAGAATTTCCAATGAATTTCAGTCAATAAAACAATTATAAAATGAGCATTATTGATATAGGTACTATACAACTGCAGGTATAAGCTGACGAGTTGATTGACGGCGGTGACTTAGGCTGTGGGTATTGTGAGAAGTTCAGTGGCACCAACAACCACACTCAGCCATCCACACTCTACTTTTATTATTTCAGATACAGATTATTACTTTTTCGTACATATAAACAAACGAAAAGATTAAGAAGTAAATTCATGATTCAAGCATAACCAATAACAGGTAAAAAAAACACTCTCGATTTGCACATTCATGTATTTGTGGCGACCATTCAGCCGCTCGGCTTACATATCTATACACAACAGTGGTAAGCAGCTGAAAATCCAAAATGAATTAAAGAGCAGTGATGTTTGTTGCTTTTTATAAATAGAATTTGAAGGAAATAGCTTGATTAACATAGGATAATATTTGTTTCATAATATATTTACAAAGAAGAAAACAAAGTCATGTTGCTTTATCAATATTAACTCTTTAATCTATTAACTAATGAACAGATGTTTGTGCTAATGCATAAAGTCGACACAAAGACAGCAGCAGCTAAATTTATCGTCATTTTTTCTCTACCAGTGACAGAACTACAGAAACGTTATGCTCCGACGGCCGAAAGTGCTCAAGTCTCTTTTTGTCTTTTTGATGCTGCTATAGCTGGAAATTTTCGAGAGATTTCGAAATGGAATCGGTATTATATAGGGTGTCCAATAAGTAACTCCACAAAGAAAAAGTTGAATATCT